TTCCAGTACCAGGGATTGAACTCAGGACCTTGTGCTTGCAAGGCAGACAGCACCACTGAGCTTAATCCCCCTCCCTGTTACATTATATTTTGCGACAGGGTCTCAGTAAATTGCCCGGATTGAGCTGAGACTTTTGATCCTCCAGCTTCATCCTCCCAAAGTGTCCAAAGTACACCATCACTCCTGATTTATTCATTTCTCAATCTTCTTCTTCTTACTGGTTTTCCTCAACTGTCTGGTAATTCCCTGGTGACCAAGTCATCTTAGTGAACCAAGGGCAGGGTGGGTTGACACAGGCATTTGTGTGGGGTTCTTCCCCCAACCCTGAGCAGCATGGGAGGTGGGTGGAGAAGGCCCTGTGCTGACTGCAGTGGGATTTGCTGACCAACCAGAGGACTTACCCCAGCTTTGGCTGTGTTCTCCCTAGTCCCCTTCATCCCTCACTGCAAGACCTCATCTTCCTCTCTTCTAAAAGCAAATGAAAATTTGTGCACAGTGGAGCCTCCAACCCCCGACCTGCGGCATCCTGCTCTCGGCCACCTATTATGAATTGATTTCCTTTGCCCTCTTCTGACTGTGCTTTAGCCACCCTCACAGACAAAACCACAGAAGAGAAGAGGAGACATTCACAGAGCTCTTTCCACATCCCAGGCCCCAGGAAGCTCTTCACACAAGCTTTCTGGAGGACTGAGGGTTCAGAGTGGTTAGGTGACTCCTCTGTGGTCACACAGCAGGTAAGTGATGTGCCTGGATCTGAACCCAGTTCTGTATGGGTCCCAGGCTCTTAACCACAGAGCTACAGACCCAAAGATCTCTTTTGGGCCATCGTGGCCAGAGCTGTCCACACTGCAGATGCACCAGAAGGTCTAAGAGCCGGGGAAGTGGAGGGCTCTAGCACCCTCTGGGGGAGACAGGGGACTTTGCAGAAGTTCTGACCCGGCCAGAGAGGCCTAAGGCTGGAATCAGGAGAGGTCCGTGGAATGAATGACTTAATTAGGGCTCCTTTTCCCCCAACTCCTCAACACTGACAACCAAAATTTACCCGGGCACATCCTCTATCGGAATAAAGACATAAGACCTTCTGACTAACTTCTGGCTAATTAGATATAAGCAAAAATGTAGTGTGCAATTTAAGGAAGTTTGAAGCAGAGTGGGTCATCTGCTCTGTCCCTTCTTCCATTCTGCTTTCTGGAAAGTGCATATAACGGAGGCGCTGGAGCAGCTGTCTTGGAGCCTGAGTGAAGCAGTCTACTGAATACAGCTGAGTAAACTAAGAAGGAGTCTAGTCTGGTAAAGATCGTGGAGTTGCTGTTATAGTGAAGATGGAAAATGTCTTCCCAAAGTCTCATGTTTTTGGAGGGTGAACAGATCATGGGGGTGTTATACTCATCACTGGGTGTATCCATAGGAGTGTGGTAGCTGAAAGATTTTTGTTTGTTTGTTGGTTTGTTTGTTTTGTTTTTGAGACAGGGTCTCACTATGTAGTTCAGGCTGGACTTGAATTCACCATGTAGCCCAGGCTGGCCTTGAACTTGCAGCCAAGTGATCCTCCTGCCTCAGCCTCCTGAGTGCTGGGATTACAGGTGTGCACCACCAAACCTAGCAGGTAGCTGAAAGTTCTGTTTGTATTTGGGGCCTGGTTGGAAGTGGCTCACTGGAATGTGATCTGGAAGAGTATTCTTGTCCCTGGCTCCTTCTTTTCCTCTTTCAGCTTCCTGCTTGCCATGGGATGAACAGCTTTTCTCTGCCAGGCCCTTTCACCATGCCCTTTTTGCCTTGGAGCCAGCTATGGACTGAAACTATGGGCTAAAATGAACCTCTCCTCCCCTAAGTCCTGGGTGTCAGGTATTTTGTCCAAGCTAATATAGTTGCCACATCAATATTGGATAATAAAGCTAAGCATGGTGGTGCACTCCTGTAATCCCAGTACTCAAGAGGCTGAAGCAGGAGGATTGCAGTGAGTTTGAGGCCAGTCTGGGCTACATATTAAGTTCAAGGCCAGTGGGAAATATATAGCATAAGCCTGTCTTCCTCCCTCCCTCCCTCTCTCTCTCTCTCTCTCTCTCTCTATATATATATATATATATATATATATATGTAATATATGTATATGTGATGATTACATGTACATGATACCAACACCAACTTGAGAGAATGGGAGAGATACTTCTTTTTATTTTATTTTATTTATTTTATTTTATTTTGGTACCGGGGATCGAACTCGTGTCCTTGCGCTTGCGAGGCAGGCCACTGAACCGCTGAGCTAAATCCCCGGCCCCTATTTTATTTTATTTTTATTGATCATGTTTGCAGTACATAATGGTGACATTCCTCTTGGGGAACTGATATGTTTACATACCACGTTTTAACTTTTGTTCATCCCCTTCCTCCCTCTCCTCTCCTCTTGTACATTTCTAGTTTGTTTGGGTCCGAGTTTGGGGTCTCAGTACTTATAACTTATTTATCTGTTTTGTAGGCAGATTTTTTTCCCTTGGGCAGATTCCCTAGCATCTCCATACCTTGGTGCTTGCATCTAAGGTGAGCCGTATAGTACCCACCTTACAGATGTCTGTGGAGGTTTGGTGTCTTTGCCTATTGATAAGTTACCTTGTAATTTTTGTTAATTTAGGCTACTATAGACACAGAAATGATGCAAAGTAGTATTTCCTGAGTGAGCATGGGAGATGAGTCTTGTTGTACTACCTCAAGGAAAACAAGCTGGGTGTTGTTTGGGCTTGTGTCTCGATGTCTCCTCAAAGCCTCACGCAGTCACAGGTGGGGCTTTTTGGAGGTGGCTGGATCTAGACTGTATGATGCTGGGATCAAGAATGCAATGCTAGGGCCGGGGATTTAGCTCAGTGGTTCCACTGCCCTCCTTGCAAGCACAAGGTCCTGAGTTCAAGCCTGGTAGCCACCGCACCTGCCCGCCAAAAAAAAGAATGCAATGCTAGGATTAAGGGTGTGAGTGCTACCTGCCCTGAGGGAGGGTAGCCTGTATAAGACATGAGATAGAAAGAAACTTGTCTCTTGCCTCTCTGTGATGCCCCTCTGCCAGGCCAACCTGCCTTGAAACCTCTGCAAACTGTGAGCCAAAATAAAGCTTTCCTCCTTTAACTCTGAGTGCTGAGTATTTTGTCTCAACAACAAGAAAAAGTAACTATGTAGGTGTGTTGTTTGCTAATCTAGGTCTCAGGTGACTAATGCAGCTAAACAAGCAGCCACACAATTCCCCAGAGCATCCACCTGGGAACCCACAGGGGCTCAGGTGGGGCTGAGAAGGCCAAAGGGTTGGCTCCTATCTGCCCCTTTCGCCTTGCATCCTCTTTGGACCAGAAGGCTGGTTGGAGTCTGCCCTTTGTAGACTTGCCCACACAAGTGGGAGGCCACAGCATGAGGGTATCTGGAGACCTTGCCAAAGTCACAGCCACTCAGATCCATTGGCCAGAGTGAGTCACGTGGCTATACAGAATCCAAGGAGGGGTCAAGGCAGGGTTGCTTCCTCCAGCAGGAATCAGTACGATAGACAAAGCTATCTGTAGAGGAAGGATTGGCACCAATATTTCACTGTCCCACAGTCCTAGAGCCACTGAGGAAGGAAGCAGTGGAGTAAACCCTTTGGGTTTTGGTCAGAACAGAAAATGATCTAAGCGTAGAGTGCCCAGAGAGGTGACAATGAAGGACAGAGCGATAGAAAGCTAATCTCTTGGGGCCTGAGGGTGTCAGGATGGAATGTTGCCAGATGTGTGCTTTGAGCCACTATGGCCAGAATCCTGGATCCACCCTGATTTAGGGTTTCACCCACTTTAGATCTGTACATGCAGGTTGGCCCCAAGGCCTGGAGACCCGATCTGCCATTCTGGGCTCCCACCAAGACTGGCAGGGGCTGGGCTGAGTTGAATTTGCTCTTGATCTTAGCCAAAAGGCTGAGAAGTGATGGGCTGAGTTGAATTTGAGTTGAAAAAATTTTTTTAAAAAAATGTTTTATCACTTGTATCTGGAATTGCTTGGAGTAATTAACATGTAGTAGATCCCCAAAAGAATGGGCTCCAGGGCCAGGGATTTAGCTCAGTGATTCTGCCACCTGCCTTGAAAGTGCAAGGTCCTGAGTTTGATCCCAGGTACCCAAAAAACAAAAAATGTGCTCCAGAATTGTAAGTAGCTCAGCTGTGAGGGGTCCTTTCTTTTCTGCCTCAAGAGTAAGGGACAAAGAGGAAGGGACATTCTACCTAGACTAAAGGGTGTCCTGGATGTTGGAGTCTCTAAGTTCCCACAACTAGGACCTCCGTCTTGAAAGTTTATAGATGTAGCATACAGAAAGGCCCTTAGAAGACCTGGAGAATAAGTCAGCCTTGGTCTGGGTACCCTGACATCCCCACCTACATTGGGCTTCACTCCTTCCCTGTCATCAGGGAGGAACAGTACAGAAAGTTCCCCTCGGGCTCCCAGTCTCTCCCTGAAGTACCCCAGAAAGAAGAGGCTGGGTATAGCTGGCAAATGGGATACCTCACTCCCTTTTTTTTAACTTTGCCTGGGAGGATGCTTTGGTGACCGCCCCCCTCCAAGTCCCACTTCTGTTTGCTCAAGTCCTAAAGAGTCCCAGGCTGGCTGGAGCCTTCCCTGCCTCAATCCTTCCTGCCTTGGTGTTGTGCAAGGCTGCAGCTGCCTCCTTAACCCAGGAGCTCTGGGCTGGACAGAGAACTAAAGCACTGGGAAAGAGGAAGCAGTGCCCAGTCGCGAACCTCATCGCTCAGGGTGCAGAGCCAGGGAGCCAGCTGCATGCGCCAGGAGCTTCAGCTGTTCCCAGAGCGACTTCCTCCTCAAGCAGGTACTGCTGATCCTTGACCAGGGGAATGGAGTGGGTAGGGCTGGGCCTGGGGGTGTGTGTGTGTGTGTGTGTGTGTGTGTGTGTGTGTGTGTGCGCGCGCGCGCGCTGGACTCCAAAGCAACCCAAGCCCAAAACACTAGTCAAAGCTGCACTTAGAACCCAAATCCCCTTATCATTCCAAATCCTCTCAAACCCTGGCCCAGTCCCAGTCCCAGATCTGACCACCCATCGTTTGAACCTCCCATCCCACTGCAGCCCTGATCCCAGCCTCCCCTCACCTACATGGCATAGACAAGCACTTACTAATCACCTTCCTCTAGCAACAGCAGCTGATCCATTCTCCCTACTGCCCGACCCCTTCCCTCTCATCCTGGCCGGACCTCTACTTGTCTGGATCATCTTTTGCAGCCAACTCCAGGTGTCACTTCCCCCAGCTCTCACTTTCCCCAACCCAGTGGCAACTCCAATCCCAGCCTGAATTCCATCCCAAATCCCACACTGCCATGCTTGGCCCTGCCCTGAGGTGGCCTTTGCTCTAATCCACTCCCATTCTACTTCATCCATTACCACTGTACCTGTCAGCAGAGGACTCCAGTCCTGCTCTGCACAGCTCAGGGAGTGGCTGCTCTGGCCATGAGCTCACAAAGCCTGGCTAAGGAGCCAAGTTCAAGTTTTCTGTTGCTTGTGTCAGAGCCAGTGCACAGTCTTCATGGATTCTATGGCTTGCAGAATGAATTTTGGGCCTGTGTTTTGGGGCTTTCCTCTGTTTTGAAGACCATCTACTCCTGGAATGGCCAGGCTATACCCTGACTTTCTGTCTTTGGGCCAGAGCTCTCCAGCTGGCACCATTACCCCTTGTCCCCGTATCCTCCTCCAGCCAGATAGGGAAGTTGGGGAGAAGCTCTGGTGTTGGGAAACAGAAACCGAACCCTATACCCAGGCACAGCTGCCTACAGGGAAATGACCTCTGCTTATCTTGCCTGGCTGGACTTAACCACTAGGTCGGAGGTCAAGGATTTGGGGCCTTAGCCTGCCATCTCAAGATGTCCTGGGACAGTTGGTCTCACACACAATGGAAATGGGCCCCACGGAATACCAGACCATTCCGACCCATCCTGATTCCAGTTCCTGGAGTAGGGATTAAAAACTCTTGTCTTTGGAGCAACTAAGACTTGGGAGCACAAGGATAAATGTCAGGAGCTTCTGTTTAGGGACAGTGCTGTTCTGAAAAGTCACTATTTAAGGGAGGGCAATAGCGATCCCTTTCCTCTACTACATACATTCTTCACCCCTTCCCCAGGACTGGAATCACTACCACCAGGGCCACTAGGTACCCCCTAGGCCCAGCCGCCCTGACCCAAGCCCCAGGGCACCTTCCCCTGCACACCAGGCTTTCACGCAGGGACTAGAGCCTCCCATTTTGGGTTTGTGCCTGCTCTTTCTTTTTCCAGGACAATTCTTGGGCCAAGGCTGGCCTTTAGTGCGGAACAGGCTAAGCCAGCATTGGGGAACCTTTTAGAGCTTCAAGGATAGCAAACAGCCTGCTGCAATGTGTGCCATAGGTTTGCCACAAATAAGCCAGTAAGAGGATTCCAATGGAGTTGACCCTGTGGGGTAGACACCGGGCTAGGAATAGGTGCCAGGTGTTTGGGTGCTTCTAGAAAGTTCTCCCACATGCTCCTTTCTGGGGTCTATATGTCCGCATCCACTCTCTTTCCATGGGCTTCAGTATTACCGTTTCTAGGATCCCCAAAAGGAGCAGGCTTTTTGTGGGGACATAGCTTGTTAATATCCCCAACTGCAGAGGGGCTGAGCTTGACAGTCTGTGTGAGTCTGGGCCATTTCCTGGGGCCAGGGACTGGTACTGAGGTTAGGGACACAGATCCTTGGAAATGAGCAGGCCTAGGACTGCCCCGGCTGAGGACAGGTTCTGGTTGCCCACAGAGTAGAATTCTTCCTGTCCAGCGCATGCCCTGGTTGTGCTCCCTGCTAAGGCATCTCTTCTGCCTTCTGCAACAGGCTAAAAAGCACTGCTCAGGCATGGAAGTCCCATCCAAGGTCCCATCCAAGCCTGGTCTCTGCTCTGCTCCCTCCCAGGTGTGCCCTGGGGTAGCCAGCAATCAGCTGAGGAGGGTGGACTGGGTCCTGGCAGATGTTATGCATTTCCTGTCCCCACTTCCAGCCTCCCCACACCCTCCTATCGCTCTGCTGAGTCAGCAAGCACCAGGGAAGATAGCAAAGTTGGCTCTGTGTGTGTGTGTGTGTGTGTGTGTGTGTAGATGGTGCATACTATACAATTCCCCACATTAACTGTCTTTAAGTGTACTTGGTAGCAATAAATACATCAGCAATATTGTGTAACCGTCCCATCTGGAAAGTTCTTTTTTTTATTTATTTTTTTTGGAACTAGGGATTGAACTCAGGTCCTTGTGCTTGCGAGGTAGGCACCAGAACCACTAAGCTAAATTCCTGGCCCCCATCTGGAAAGTTCTTTCCAGAACTTTCTGGGTATCCACAGAGAGACTGTTCTCATGTATTTGCTCTCCTCTCTCCTTCCCTGGCTCTGGGAAACTGCTAGCACACGTTTTGATTCTAGGAATGTATGTAGTCTAGAAGTTTTATGTCAGTGGAACTGTACAATATTCACCCTTTTGTGTCTGGCTGTTTTCAGCTGGGCATGGCCGGCCATGTCTAGAATCTCAGCTATTTATTTATTTTGTAGTACTGAGGCTCGAACTCAGGACCTAGCACTTGCAAGGCAGGAGCGATGCCACTGCACTAAATCCCCGGCCCAAATCTCAGCTATTTTGGATGCTGAAGCAGAAGTACTGCAAATTCAAAACCAGTTGAGGCAACTTAGCAAGGGCAAGGGCCCGAGTTCAACCCCCAGTACCAAAAAATAAATAAATAAATAATAAAAGGGCTGGGGATGTAGCTGAGTTCAGTCCCTGGGTTCAGTCCCCAGTACTGCAAAACAAAATCATAATGTTCTTAAGGTTCGCCTGAGTTGTAACCAGTGTCAGGATACAGTTTCCACTTGTGGCCGACTGATGTCCCATCTACGCATATAGCATGTTTTGCTTCTCCACTCTTCTGACGGGGACACTGGCGCTGTTTCCACCTTTTGGCTATTGTGAAAACGCTGCTATGAACTTGGCCTTTGAGTACCTGCCTGAGTCCCTGCTTTCCATACTTTTCCATTTATGCCTAGGAGTGGGATTGCTGAGTCATTTCAAGAAGCTTTGCTGAGGGCTGGATTTAGCTCTGTGGTTTTTCTGCCTGCCTCTCAAGTGCAAGGTCCTGAGTTCGATCCCTGGTAAAAAAAAAAAAAAAAGCTATTTTGACTTTTTTTCCCCTTCACACTATTGGAGAGTTAACCAGGGCCTTCACACTGAGCTACCCATACCCTAATCCATATGTGTGGGGCCCCAGAGGGCCCCTTCCCTACCAGAGGCACTCTGTGGCACAGGACCTGCCTTCTGTGCGTGCTGTACAGTAGGCATTTATCTCACATTTGTAACTCTATGCTTGTGCCACCTGGCACACCTAGACTTGCCCTGCCACTTCCCTGTTCTACTCTGAACCCCCAAGGGGGTCGGGGGTCCACGCTCCTTTCTCACCTACTGAGCAGGTCTCTGAGTGTGCCTGGGGGCTGTGACTGCTGGGCCTACATATCCTAAGTACCAGGTCTTCCAGAACGGGTGGTCAAAACTGCCAAGGACCAGGCAAACACAGACAACTCTAGGGTGACTACCGCAACTCTGAAGGGGAAGTCCCAGCTGAAAGTCCCATCTGTGCTTACCTTGAAGTCTGGATAAGGTTTTTGTAGACAAAGATCATTTGGTGGGTAACTAGGAGACTGTGGGCAGAGAGGACAGGGGTAAGAAATGGGAGTCTTTACCTCTTAAAGGCAATGGGGATCCATAGGAGGTTTTTAAACAGAGAATGACTCTTAAAGGCAGCACTTTGATAAACCAAGTCAAGCCCTATTATGGCCAGGCCTAGTGGCACAGTCCTGTAATCCCAGCACTCTGAGAGGCTGAGGCAGGAAGATCCTAATTGCCTAACCCGGGCAATTTAGTGCCTTAGGGAAACCTTATCTCAAAAAAAAAAAAAAAAAAAAAAAGAAAGGAAGAAAAAAAAAGGCCTAGGGATCTTGGGGTGTAGTTTAGCGCAAAGGCCCTGGGTTCAATCCCTGGTACTGCAACCCCCACCCACCCACCCAAGGAAAAAAACTCATTATGGTAAGGCTGGTGATAAGAAAAAAATTCCAGTAAGAAACCCTACTAGTCACTGGGTGCCCTGGAGTAAGTCACTGGGCATCTCTGGGCTCCAGTTCCTGCCAGCTTGGATAGGAAGGGGTGGGTGTGAGAAGTGAAGGAGGAAGTTAAAACAGCTGTTCATGGGCCCTGAAACTGTGCTCCTGAGGGGTGATGAAAGAAGAAGTTGGGATAGGGCCAAAGGGCACAGAAGTCTTTCTGGGGTACACCACCAAGGGAGGGCATTTCTAGGCACAGCCCAAGCCTGGGAGGTAGGCTCCTGGCTCCCTGCTGGTGGCCACTCTGAAAGGCATAGGAAGACCTGTCCCCTCCCTGGCTGTGGCCAGCACAGCAGGTAGGGATACAGGAATAGACTGTAAGGGAGCTCTGGAGCTGAAGCCCTGAGGTGTCCCAGGGAGACGCCCTGTGTATTACCCTCTTAGGTACCAGAACCAGCCCAGGACATTGCTATGGGCATCCTGCTGCAGCTGTTCATCTTTGCCTCTGTCTTTCGCCCAGGTAAGATGTGGCCAGCACCCAGCTCCCAGGGCTAGCAGAGGTCCAGTCTCGGCAGACTGGACTACGCCCGGGTGAAGTCTGGCTCTTGAAGTAAAGGAAAGGCATGGGGAGGTAGGGGCAGGGATGAGCAGGATGCCAAAGTCCCTCTTGGAGCCATCCTGACAAGCTTCTGATCAGCCATGGAGCAAGGGACACCCCCACCTAGAGGCACCGAAAGGGGCTGTGCTAGGGGGTTTGTGGGAGTCAGGTAGGTTTGGGGGCCGATCTGGGGCACTTCTCTGGAGCAGATGGCAGCAGGGTCCCCAGGCCATTTCGTCTTCATCTCTGCCCCCCCCACCCCTCCTACAGGCCAGCCCTCCTGGGGCGTCTCCAGTCCAGATGGTGTGCAGGGCAGGCCATTTCCTCTTCATCTCTGCCCCCCCACCCCTCCTACAGGCCAGCCCTCCTGGGGCGTCTCCAGTCCAGATGGTGTGCAGGGCGTGAAGGGGTCCTGCCTGGTCATCCCCTGCACATTCAGATTTCCTGCTGATGTGGAGGTGCCCAGCGGCATCACTGCCATCTGGTACTATGACTACGCAGGCAGTCGGCGGGTGGTGAGCCACTCTGCCAGCCCTGAGCTGGTGGAGTCGCATTTCCACGGCCGCGCGCAGCTGCTCGGAGACATCAGCCACAGAGCATGCAGCCTGATGCTGAGTGACCTGCAGCCAGAGGACACCGGCACCTACAACTTCCGCTTTGAGATCAGCGAGGGCAACCGCTGGTCAGATATCAGAGGCACCTCAGTCACTGTGACAGGTGAGGATGAGGCGGCCTGGCTGCTGCCTGGCTCCCTGGTTCATGGCCTCATCCTTGCCCCGATCTCATCCTGGCCACTGTCAGCTGGGCCCCAGATCCACTCTGCTTCCTCCTCACGGCCTTTCCTGTACCTGAGGTCTCTGCACCAGACCTCATTCCTCACCTTGCCAGGGCAAGAGATCTCAGTTGTGGCCAAGCAGAGTCCTAAGCACTCCTGTCTTTGTCCTCAGAGGAGCCCCAGGTTCCCACCATTACCACCCCCAAAGAGCTTCAAGAGGGCACAGAGGTGACCTTCAACTGTTCCACGGCCTACGTGTGTCTGCAGAAGCCGGTCAGCCTGAAATGGCAGGGCCAGGACCCGACTCGTTCCGTCACCTCCAACGTCCAGAAACTTGACCCTATGGGTGGTGTCAGCCACATGGAGACTCTCCAAGTGGCCCTGTCCTGGCAGGACCATGGCCGGGCCCTGTTCTGTCAGCTCTCGGTGTCCGATCGCAGGAGTCAGGGCCAGGTTCACCTCCTTGTACAGCGTGAGTGCTCAGGGAAGGGGCACCCTTGCTACCGAGCCCACATCTGTGGCTCCCCGACAAAAAGCAACCCCTAGAAACAGAGCTTTGTCCCTGATGCCAAGCTGGGCACACTCGGGCTTCCAGGGCAGGACAGGTGGAGAGAGATGGCCAAGCCCAAAGGACCAGGTGTGATGGTTGTCTTCTGCCTTTGCTGGCTTCAAGGGGGCCTGTCCTTGAGGCCCAGCTGGCTGGAGAAAGAGAGAAATGGGGCCAGCGAACAGGAAATTCCAAGTAGCTTGGGGGTCAGTGGCAAGTGCCCCAGGGTTCAGCCCCTCTCCAGAGGACACTGGGATATGAAGTTTTAAACTGCTCATGGTAATGGTGATTGGGGGGGCCCAGCTGAGTAAGTGGGGAGGAAGCTCAGATCTTCTCCTTTAGTTACACCTCTTCCAGATCAGTCAAATGAGCCGCGGTTCTAGAACGATGGCTGTTCATATACTGGCCCCCACCCACTAGAGGAGCAGATGCTGGGCAAGTCCTTGTGACCCAAAGCTGATGTATTCCCATCGGTAAAGGGGAGGAAGTGAAATGTTATTCCTACCTCATGGAACTGGAGGAAAATGAAAGGAGGTAGTTAGAACAGTGCTCGGCACTTATAAATGTGAGCTTTTATTAGCAGGTTTCCATAGAGACTTTGGAACAAGATTTGAGGAATTACAGCTTCTTATTATTGCTGGCCTCTTCCTTACAAACCAGTAAACTCTTCTGAGAGCTAATCTGATGCTGCCATTAGCCCCTGCCAGTAAGTGGCTGGTCCCTTCTCAAGGGTGACCACAGGCCGCTAAAGCAGTGTGGTGCCTGTGACCTCAACCAGAACGGGGCAGCGGGCAGTGTTGTGAAGCAACAGAAGGCAGCACAGAAGGCAGCATAAGCAAGCACCAACCACATTAGCAGAATCTGGGTGGAGACGGAAGGAAGAGGGGATGTGGCGGGGTGGGAGAGGACAGGGCCTGCCCTGGACAGGGGGACACTTGGGTCTGATGTTTTCCCTGGATGGCCTTCCTTAGAGCAGAGCTTTGAAAGGCAGGGAGAAATGTCCCCTACCGTGTCCTCCCCTTGCACCTCACCTGACACTTCCATGGGGCCTTGCAGATGCCCCCAAGGGCGTGGAGATCCTCCTCAGCCCCTCGGGGCAGAACATCCTTCCAGGGAATCTGGTCACACTCACTTGCCGAGTGAACAGCAGCTACCCTGTCGTCAACTCTGTGCAGTGGCTCAAGGACGGGGTGAGCCTCAAAGCCAATAGTCCCTTGCTGCAGCTGTCCCAGGCAGCCTGGAATGATTCCGGTGTCTACACCTGCCAAGCTGGGAATACAGTGGGCTCTTTGGTCTCGCTGCCTGTCAGCCTGCATGTCTTCAGTGAGTCCAGGGTGAGCTGGATCGAGCCAAGGGGCAGGGAGGAGTCTGGGCGGAGCTGAAGGCTGGCTGCTCAGTGCTTGTGGTACTCCGTTGTGTGAGACAGATATCAGCCCCTCCCGGAGAGGTGGGATGTCAAGAGGACCTTGGTAGATGGGATGGCGAGGTGCAGGGTGACTGTAAGAGCCTGCACTGCATGGGAGGTGGGGATGGGGAAGTAAAATCTGCAGGTTGAAGCTGAACAGCTGTACCCAGGATTCTAAGAGGCTGGGGATGGGAGTCATTGCGCAATCTCCCAGCATGTCTTGTGCTGCTCTCACAGTGGCCAAGGTCGAAGTGAGTCCATCAGGCCCCATCCTGGAGAACCAAACCCTGACGCTGAACTGTGACACCCCCAAGGAGGCACCCAGTGAGCTCCGCTATAGCTGGTACAAGAACCAGGTCCTGCTGGAGGATGCCCACACCCCCACCCTCCGGCTGCATGTGGCCACCAGGGCTGATACTGGCTTCTACTTCTGCGAGGTGCAGAACACCAAGGGCAGCGTGCGCTCTGGCCCCGTCAGTGTGGTGGTCACCCGTAAGTGGCTGGGGAGGGGGTCAGTGGATACTGCCAGGGCAGCACAGAAGAGTGGAGACCTGATGGAGGGTAGAGGTGCCGGGTACATAGGAGCTCTGAGGCCACTTTACCCAGATGATAAACTGAGTGGCCTGGAATTCACAGCCCAACATGCACACCTGGGCAAGGCTTTGACCTCCCTGGGCCTCAGTTTCCTCCTACTTTTACAACACTTTATGTGGAGCTGGGGAAGTAGCTCAGTGGTAGAATGCTTGCCTAGCATGTGTAAGGCCCTGGATTCAATGACCAGCACTGAAAAAAAATTTGTACTTGTTTTTTTTTGTTTTTTTTTTTGGTACTGGGGATCGAACTTGGGTCCTTGTGCTTGCAAGGCAGGCTGAGCCAAATTCCCAGGCCCAAAATATGTGTATTTAGAAATAAGTTAAAACTCATGAAAATTGCAAGAATAGTACAAAGAATTATCATATACCTTTAATGTAGATTCTCCGAATGTTAATATTTGGGTAAACTTACTTCATTTTCTCTCTATACCTCACTTACTGGACATTATAGCTTTGCTTAGCTTGCCTTAAACACATGCCCAGCATGCTTATATTAGCCCACGGTTTGGCAGAATCACCTTACACACAGCCTACTTCATAATGAAGTGCTGCATGGCTTGTGTAATTCATTGAATACTTGTGCCAGTGGTTTGTCCTTGTGATAGCGTGGGTTGATTGGGGGCTGCAGCCTCCTGCTACCGCCCAGCCCCTCAAAACAGGATCATACCATCAATCAGTAGCCAGGGAAAAGATCAAAACTCAAACTTCTAAGCAGAGTTTCCATAGAACATGTGTTGCTTTCACATCATTGTAAAGATGAAAAACTATAGGTGGAATCATTGTCGGTTGAAGATGGTCTATGTTTCTATTCCTAGACCTGCAAACATGGTGCCTCTTTGCCCCTTCCGTGCGTGTATTTCCCAAGACCACTCATGTCCATACACCCTTCCAGTACAAAGGCCTCAATCAGGAAATGTGACCTGGATCCAAGACTAAGCTATAGTCCTTGTCCAATTTTTAGCAATTGACCTAATAATGTGTTCCATGGTATTTTTTCCCTCTGGCCCAGGATCCAATTCAGGCTCACACATTTAGGGCTGAATTGTGTTTCTTTGTGCCCATGTCCTGTCCTTCTGGGACAGTTCTTCAGTCTTTCATGACTTCAAAACTCAAAGAGCACAAGGCTACCCTTCAATTGCACTTGTTTAAGACTCTGCAGTGTGTCCTTCACAGTGAGTCCTGTCATCCTGCTGGGAGGCCAACAGTGCCAGCTTGTCTTAGACTGGTAAGGTCCCTCTGGATAGCTCGGTTCAGGTGCTGCCGCCACCTGTTCTCTATTGGTTTTCTCATCTTTAAAGTGAGGCCCTGACCTCTCCACCCTGCAGAGCAGCTGTAAGGACTAATGGGACACTAGAGGGACTTGCCTGGCCCAGGAGCTCCTGAACAGTCCCTGTCCTGGAGCATTCTGGGCCAAAGAGTCTAGGTTCATAGATCCTGACAGAGACCCCGGAAGTGCTGTTGGGCCGTGACAGGTCCATCTCTTGTCCCCACACAGACCCACCCCTCGTCCCAAAACTGAGTGCCTTCCTAGAGACGCAGTCCAGGCTCATGGGCATCTTCCAGTGCTCCGTGGTCAGTGAGCCCCTGGCCACACTGGTGCTGTCACATGGGGACCTCATCATGGCCTCCAGCTCTGGAGAGAGGGATTATAGCCCCCGTGTCATCGTCTCCTCTGCTCCCAACTTCCTGCGCCTAGAGATTCGAGACCTGCAAGCAGCTGACAGTGGGGAGTACAAGTGCACAGCTGCCAACTCCCTTGGAAATGCAACCTCTACCCTGGACTTCCACGCCAATGGTAAGATGGGCACAGACCATCTGGGAGTGTGTGTGTTTGTGTGTGTGTGGCCCCCAAAAGGAGGCCTGCTCTAGCTTCTTCCTTCTAGGAGTCCAGAGGACTCAACTGGGGGCTGAACTAGCTGGCTAGGTCACATCAAAGACCTGGCTATATAATCATCCCAACTTCAGAGGTCCTTAGAAGGCGAGGCAAAGAGGGAAATATGTTGCAGATCACATTGCTCCTTTTATACATACTCTGACTCTGATCTTGGAGGGTCCTTCATAGGCATTCTTTTTTTTGTTTGTTTGTTTTAATTTGTCAGACTTTGGGGACAGGGTCTATGTTAGGAGTTAGGTGAAAGATGCAGAACAGAGAAGTGAGGTGTTGCAACCGTTGGTGCGTATGCTGTCCTTCCCCCCTTCTGGGGCCATGGTAGGTGTAGCAAATCGGTCAAGCCAGGATTTTGGCACAAGCTGGGCTGTGGCTCAGATTCCTCAGCTACCACCAGTAGGTCTGAACTGGCATTCAAGGCTGAACCCTCCTGATCTACACTTGCCCAGACAGCCATGAGGGGTGAGGCGAAAAGTTCTGCGGGGTGGGGCGTTTGCAGCCTCCCAGCCTCCTCTCCCCTCCTGCAGCTGCCTGGCTCCTCATCAGCCCAGCGTCCGAGGTGGTGGAAGGGCAGGCAGTGACTCTGAGCTGCAGGAGTGGCCTGAGCCCAGGGCCCGACGCCCGCTTCTCCTGGTATCTGAATGGAGCCCTGCTTCTCGAGGGACTCAGCAGCAGCCTCCTGCTCCCTGCGGCCTCCAGCACTGACGCCGGCTCTTACCACTGTCGTGCCCAGGACAGCCACAGTGCCAGTGGCCCTTCAGTGCCCTCTGTCCTCACCGTGCTCCGTGAGCAGCCTTGCCTGGCCACTGCCTGCTGCGGGGAGGGTCACCCGTGGGACCGGCAGCTGCCCCACCTCCGCCAGCCCGCTTGACCCCATCCCACCCTGGGGTCCACAGCAGGAGGTGGTCACAGTCCTGGCCACTGTGCCCTGGCCACTCAGGGCTGAAGTTGGGAGGATGAGTCTGGGATCTCCTCTACCTCCCTGTATCCTGGCCTCCAAACCCAGCCCCTTTGTCCCTCCCCTCAAAGCCACCCTGGCTTTTTTCTCTGGGGCGTCCTGGGTGGACAAACTCCTATAGATGTGCAAATGCCCTGTGGGGCTCTTGTACATACTAAGGCAGAAGCTTTCAGCACTGGACAGTCCAGGCCCTCTCCATCCTGCCCCAGGCAGATAGATATACTGCAGTCGCCAGGGGCTGAGTCCTATTCGGGGCACATTTAAATTGCAGAGGCCTCCTTAACACGTGTGTACTGGTCCTGGTTCAGGATTAGCTGAGACTCAGGGCCTCATAGTACACCCTTCCCAGCTAGAAACCACTCCCCTTCTTCCAGGAAGAGTCATCGGCACAAGGGCACAGTTTAGCCAGAGACGTACGGGTGGAATCCCATCCACTGCGGTCTGGTTTCTCTTTGGCAGTGCACAGCCTGCACAGCTGTCTGAGGCTGCTTTGGGGCCCTGCCGGGAGTGGACCTGGGGCCCTGGCAATGGCCATCGGGTGAGCACCCCACTCTTCTTCTCTACAGACCCCCCACGCCAGCCCACACTAACCGCCCGGCTGGAACTGGATGCCCCCAGTTCTGAGGCTGGGCGGCGCGGCCTCTTGCTGTGCCGTGTGGACAGTGACCCACCTGCCCATCTACGGCTGCTCCATGGGGAGCGTGTCGTGGCCACATCTTTGGAGAGCGGCTGCTGTACGTGTCAGGGTTGCTCCCGGCACACAAAGGTCACCATCGTGCCCAACCTGCTGCGGGTGGAGATCCACGACCCTGTGCTGGAGGATGAGGGCGTGTACCTGTGTGAGGCCAGTAATGCCCTGGGCAACACCTCGGCCTCAGCTACCTTCAATGCCCAGGGTGAGGGGCAGGAGTGAGTGGGAGAGGGCAGGGGCTGAGCTCTGGGCTATGCCTCTGTTGGTCCTGGGCCTCTTCCTTCTGGTCCCTGGGTGGGGTGGGGGTGGTCAGAGCAAGGGCTGTCTCCAGCAAGCCTGTCGCCTGCTCTCCAGCCACCGTCCTGGTCATCACCCCGTCCAACTCACTGCAGGAGGGCACTGAGGCCAACCTGACTTGCATTGTGAGCCGGGAAGCAGACAGCAGCCCTGCCAACTTCTCCTGGTTCCGGAATGGGGTGCTGTGGGCTCAGGGCCCCCAGGAGACCGTGAGACTACCATCTGTGGCCAGGACAGATGCTGCCCTGTATACTTGTCACCTTATCACTGAAGCCAGCACCCAGCCCTCGGCCCCTGTGGTTCTGAGAGTGCTCTGTGGGTGCCAAGCAGGGAGTCTGGGGGCTGGGAGCAGCCCTGGAGCACACAGGGTGGAGGGGAGTCTGGGGGCTGGGGGCCAGGCTGGGCCTGGGTGAGACTACCATCTGTGGCCAGGACAGATGCTGCCCTGTATACTTGTCACCTTATCACTGAAGCCAGCACCCAGCCCTCGGCCCCTGTGGTTCTGAGAGTGCTCTGTGGGTGCCAAGCAGGGAGTCTGGGGGCTGGGAGCAGCCCTGGAGCACACAGGGTGGAGGGGAGTCTGGGGGCTGGGGGCCAGGCTGGGCCTGGGGGGATCCTGCAGATCCCCCGGACCCTCCAAAGCTGTCAGCTCTCCTGGACATGGGTCAGGGCCACACAGCCATGTTCATCTGCACTGTGGACAGTCATCCCCTGGCTCAGCTGTCCCTGTTCCATGGGGAGCACCTCCTGGCCACCGGCCGTGGACCCCAGCTCCCATCCCATGGTAGGCTCCACACCAAGGCCACCACCAACTCCCTGCAACTGGAGGTCCGAGAACTGGCTCTTGGGGACTCTGGTTGGTACCACTGTGAGGCTACGAATGCTCTGGGATCGGCCAACACTTCCCTCTTCTTCCAGGTCCGAGGTAAGTGTGCGTCCTCTGATGATGGTACACCTGATACCGGGGGCTACTCCGTCAGATGTTGGGCTGCATTTATGCTGTGGATTTTGCATAGAAAGGGGAATCCTTTTCCTTTCCAGCCAGCCAGCCTTTCTTTGCCTCTTGGCAGGTATTTTTGCCTGTAATAACTACAGCGGTCACTAGGGGTGCAGTGGCAATTGTGTAAGATGGCTAGTTTGATCAGCACACTTCAAAGTAACTTGGGTGGCCTGCCTTGCAAGCACAAGGACCCAAGTTCAATCCCTGGTACCAAAAAAACAAAAAACAAACAACGTAGCTTGTTTGTTAATAAGTTTTGTTATAAGTATAGTAAAAATTCTTATACAAAGCCTAGTGTACATGTATGCTGTGTGTGCATATATATATATATATATATATATATATATATGTATTAATACATATACTTACTGTATTTATATTCTTCTCTACAAAAACTCTCCTTGAGCAAATGAAAAAGGAAAAGTAATGCTTATAAAGTGGTCAAAGAAAAATGCATGCTTCCTTTTCCATAATGACTAGTGGGGGTGAGCTTTGGACATTTACTTTGGACCTTCGTTCTGTATATCGTGTCTTGTTTATTATACCCATTTCAAAGGCAGAGAAACTGAGGGGCAGAGTCTTTCCTAGGCGCTCACTCACTGGCACCTGACCTGCAGGCCCTGCTAACTCTAGACTAATGTGGCTCTGGCCCTTGCATGGCCTGTGCTCTTGGTTTCCACCCAGCTGCTTGTTTGTCATTCTCAACCCTCATCTCCTCCTGCTTCAGAGCTGGGGACCGACAAGGACACGCCCTTGTCCACTTCGCAGTGCCTGGGCTCTTGTATCCTAGAGCTAGGTGCAGAGTGTGCCAGAGAGGGCTGGAAAAAATGTCACAGAGCTGTCAACCTCTTCCTTGAGCCCTCAGCCACCCGTACTGTTCATGGTCAGGACGATGGCCCTCAGCTTGTCCTAAAGCCCTCTTATTTCAGTGCTTTAAAGGTCAAACCAACATTTGTCAAAAGCTCACACATGCAGGAATTCTATCTGAGACTAGAGCTCCAGGCCACACAAGCTGGGTTCCCTTAGACTTAGCCTCCCATGGGTGGGATATGATTGGTAGAGCAAAGCCATGACTTCCAGAAGTGGGCAGCAAGTGCCGGGCAGGACAGAGCTGGTGTAACTGTATTGGGAGCAGAGACGAAGCTGAAGCTGGCATCGACCAATGGAGAGGAGCCTTCAGGGACATGGGATTGGGATCACAGAGTCCTACACAGCCATGCATGCAGCCCCCGATTACTGGAGTTGTGATGCCCAGTCTACTCCTGCCTTGGTTTCTCCCTGCAGGAGCCTGGGTCAAGGTCTTGCCATCTCCAGAGCTCCAGGAAGGCCAGGCTGTGGTCCTGAGCTGCCAGGTGCCCACGGGGGCCCCTGAGGAGTCCTCATACCTCTGGTTTCGGGACGGCCAGCCCCTCCATGAGTCAACCTCAGCCACGCTGCGCATTGCAGCCATTACTCCGAAGCTTGCTGGCGCCTACCATTGCCAAGTTGAGGCCCCAGGCTCAGCTACCAGCCTCGCTGCCCCCATCAGCCTGCATGTGTCCTGTAAGTGCTTGTCCCACCTGTGGGGTGCGGTGGGGTGCATTCCCTGGTCCTGGGCTCTGTGACTGTAACAGGGCCCTGGACGAGGGACCCCGGCCAGGCCTGACCACTCCTCACCCATGCAGATGCCCCACGCCAGGCCACACTCACCACCCTGATGGACATGGGCTCAGGACGACTGGGCCTCATCCTGTGCCATGTGGACAGTGACCCTCCAGCCCAGCTACGACTGCTCCACGGAGACCACCTGGTAGCCTCCACCCTGCAAGCTCTGGAGGAAGACTCAAGCAGCGATCCCCGGCTACGTGTGTCCGTGACAGCCAACACACTGCGCCTGGAGATCCACAACACAGTGCTGGAAGATGAAGGCACCTACACCTGCGAGGCCACCAACTCCCTGGGGCAGGCCTCAGCTTCGGCTGACTTTGATGCCCAGGGTCAGTGTGTGTGTGTGTGTGTGTGTGTGTGTTTGTGTGTGCGCACCCTGGAAGACGGGAGAGGGGATGAAAAGGCAAAGCCACTGAGCTACATCCCTGGCTCTTTTTATTTTTTGAGACAACATCTTTCTTGTTTTTCTTCCTTTCTTTCTTCTTTTTTTCTTTTTCTTTCTTTCTTTTTTCTTTTTTTTTTTTTTTTTTTTTTTTTTTTTTTTTTTGGTACTGGGGATCTAGCTCAGGTCCTTGAGCTTGAGAAGCAGGTGCCGGAACCACTGAGCTAAATCCCTGGCTCTCTTTTCTTTCTTTCTTTCTTTCTTTCTTTCTTTCTTTCTTTCTTTCTTTCTTTCTTTCTTTTTTTTTTGCTACTGGAGATTGAACTCAGGAATACTCTACCACTGAGCTACATTTTATTTTTGTTTGTATTTTGAGACAGCCTCACTATATAACTCAGGCTCGCCTCAAGTTCACATTGATCTTCCTGTCTCATTCTCCTTAATGCTGGCATGACAGATGTATACTGCCACACCTGGATTTATATTTATATTTAAATTATTTATTTTGTGACAGAGTTACTGGGGCTGACCTTGAACTTGTGATCTGCTTGCCTTAACCTCCTCAGTAGCTGAGATTGTAGCCCATCATGCCTAGCCAAAACCCTGTTTTTGTTGTTGTTTGGTACCAGAGATGGAACCAAGGACCTTGTACTTTCGAGGAAGGTACAGTGCCACTAAGCTAAATCTTTAGTCCAAAGATCCTTTTTTATTTTTTTGGTACCAGGGATTGAACTCAGGTTCTTGTACTTGTGACCAAAGATCCCTTTTTAAACACAGATTTTTCATGGATGCCCAGCTGATAAACTAATCAGAAAGTGCATCTCAAGGAGAAGACACAGGGGCATCAGGAGGCCTTGTTCTCCATGCTTTGCCCCGACCAAGGCAGGGAGGGGTTCAGGGCTCTCTGGGGATCTGCTTGGGAGCACCCAGGAGACAATGGGCCCCTTTTGTGGGGCATCCCGAGCCTCACAGAGCTCCAGGGGCTCCCCAGAGCAGGGTGACTTGCCCGCATGGAGATGGGTGGTCTGCTTTACACACTGTCAGGCCCTCACGGTTGTCCTTCTCTCCCCAGCTGTGAGTGTGCAGGTGTGGCCCAAAGCCACCATGCAGGAGGGGCAGCAGGTGAACCTCACTTGCCTTGTCTGGGCCACCCACCTGGCTCAGCTCACCTACACATGGTACCAGGATGGGCAGAAACGCCAGGGTGCCCGCTCCATCTCCCTGCCCAACGTCACACTCGCCGATGCTGCCTCCTACCGCTGTGGTGTGGGGTCCCCTGGCAAGGCACCTCGCTTTTCCACACCTGTCACCCTGGATGTCCTCTGTGAGTCTGATTAGATGCACGGTGGGGACCAAGACATGGCCAGAGCCCCACAACTGTCCAGGATTCTATATGCAGCCAGCTGACGGAGCACCTGACAAGGGGCATTGCTTTAGGGAAATGATAGGTCCTCTCTGGGATGGGGAGCCAGGGCCCTCCCCAGTTCCAGCACCACCCACAAGGTCTTTAGATGCCTTTTGGGCCCCTGCAGATGCGCCCCGCAGCCTACGCATGACCTACCTCCTGGACAGCCACGGCGGCAGGCAGCTGGCCTTGGTGCTGTGCACAGTGGACAGCCATCCACCTGCCCAGCTGGCCCTCAGCCATGCCGGCCACCTCCTGGCCTCCTCATCCACAGTCTCTGTCCCCAACACCCTGCACCTGGAGCTGCAGGAGCCACGGCCCAGCGATGAGGGGCTGTACAGCTGCTTAGCCCGAAGCCCTCTGGGCCAGACCAACGCATCCCTAGAGCTGCGGTTGGAGGGTGAGGCGAGTCAGGCCTTGGCCACGGGAAACAGCTGTGGGAATCAGCTGCAGTATCTGGCCGGGCTGGGCTGACCCTGGCCTTCTCAAATCAGGTGTATGGGTTACACTGACTCCATCAGCTGCTATCCCTGAGGGAACCTCCGTCACAATAACCTGTGAGGACCCTGCTGCACACCCACCTGTATATTATGCCTGGTACCACAACGGCCGTTGGCTGCAGGAAGGGCCAGCTGCTTCACTTAAATTCCTGAGGGCCACAAGGGCTCACACGGGCGCCTACTCCTGTCAGGTCCACGATACCCAGGGCACACGCACCTCCCGGCTGGCCTCCTTGCAAGTCCTCTGTGAGCAGGAATCCTTGGCTGGGATGAGGGTGGAGGAGGGTGCTTCTGGGCCCCAGTGGTGGTGGGCAGGGGGTGCAGCGGGCCCAGAAACGGGTACTTGGGGAGCAAAAGACATAGGGCTTCTGCCTGGAAGACTGTGCCTATAAGATTCCTGGAAGGTGTCACTTCTAGAAGATGACCATTTGTCAAGAGGCGCCAACCTTGCCACCATCAGGCAGAGGGGCAGCAGGAGATACAGGGTGCCTAGACAAGGCCCCCGTATGTGCCCTGTCCCTCAGATCCTCCCCGAGATGCTGTCCTCTCTTCCTTCCGTGACTCCAGAACCAGCCCCATGGTCATGGTACAGTGCACTGTGGACAGTGAACCACCTGCTGAGCTGGCCCTGTCCCACAATGGCACAGTGCTAGCCACCAGCCATGGACTCCCTGGCTCAGCATCTGAGACTGGAGACATCCAGGTGGCCCGCAATGCCCTGCGGCTGCAGGTGCCAGATATACCTGCAGGTGATGACGACTCCTATGTTTGCACAGCCCGAAACATGCTGGGCTCAGTCAGTACCACCTGGCAGCTGCAGGTGGAGGGTGAGTGGGAGCAGGGAGAGAAAGGGGCTTGGGTGCTGTGAGGCCAGGGTCTGTGTGAAGGGTTAGGGCTTCCACTAGAGGACCTGAAGGGGCACAAGATAGCCTTACCCTGAGAGGCCGAATCTGATGGCCCACATTACTGGAGGGGGAAGACGTGGCTTCACCTGAGAGACCTTCTTGTGAGGGACATCAGGTGTCACCGTGCCCAAAGGCAGGTGGGCTGAGGCCATCATGGAACCCAGTCTGGGTGGGGTACAGAGTCAGAGCCCCACCCTCAGGCATCCCAATCAGAGCACAAGATGCAGCCACATCCGTCAGATCTGTGGGCCTGATGAGGGAGGCCTGTCCTGTCCTGGGAGGCTGTTCCCAGATACCAAGCAACCCCAAGACGGGCTAAGACATCTGAATGCTGCACAGGACTATAGAGCCCTGACTTGTCTGTCCATTCTTGTTCTGCAGGTGTGCGCGTGGTGGCTGATCCAGGCCTGGAGGTGCCTGAGGGCACCGCACTAAATCTGAGCTGCCACCTCCCTCATTCTCCTGGGCTTGTGGGCAACTACACCTTCGAGTGGTTCTGGAACAGCCGGCCACTTCCCACACATCCCATGCCCACTCTCACCTTCAGCCATGTAGGACGTGCACAGGCTGGGCTGTACCACTGCCAGGCAGAGCTGCCCTCTGGAACCTCTGCCTCTTCTCCAGTCATGCTCCGAGTGCTCTGTGAGTATGAAGCCCCCCCACCTCAGTCTCCCCGCATCTCTGGTGCTCATCTCGGGTTTTCCTCTTCTGTCTTGCAAAGAGCATGGGTTTCATAGTCTTGGAGCACTGGATCAGAATCTGAGCCCTCCCACCTGCTGGTGCCTTGGTTCCCTCACTTGTGAAATGGGGACCGTGTCAGCCCCTACTCTTGGGAGGAGCACAGGAGATAAGCGTAGAGTGCCTGGTATACAACAGACTGTCATCAGCCATTTCTCACATTCTGGTCTTCACCAGAGCCCATGCCTCATCAGCCACTGTGTAACAAGCCACCCCCAAATCACAGTTCTATGGGTCTGAAATGTGGGCTAGGCTCAGCTGGGCAGTTCTTCTGCTGGTCTCACCTCATGTGGCTGCAGTTGTTCAGTAGCTCCACTGAGGCTGGGTGGTCAAGATGGCCTCACCCTTGTGGTGGGTCTGATCTTCCCACATGGTCACATTCAGGAAGCAACAAGGGCTTTGAGGTCCAGCTCTGAAGTCTTACAATATCACTTCCATCTTCAGTGGCCAAAGTGAACCATCAATCCCAGGGCTAAGGAAATAGACTCCACCTCTTCACAGGAGGTTCAGCAGTCATAGTGAACAGAAGCAGGGAGGGAGGGATTTGTGGGCATTTCCCCAAATCATCACATTCCTTTCCTCCCCACAGACCCTCCTACGACGCCCACCATGACAGTCTTTGTGGAGCCTAAGGGTGGCCTCTGGGGCATCCTGGACTGCCGAGTAGACAGCCAGCCCCTGGCCAGACTGACCCTCCGCCTCGGCAGCAGACTAGTGGCCTCCAGCCAGCCCCAGGGTGCTCCCACAGAGTCACATATCCAAGTCTCAGCCTCCCCCAATGCCCTGAGGGTGGACATGCAGACACTGAGGCCCAGAGACCAGGGGGAATATGTGTGTTTTGCCTCCAATGGCCTGGGCTCTGCCTCTGCCTCTGCCTACTTTGGGGTCTCAGGTGAGGGGAAGGGCTCCCTCTTCCAGGCCTCTGTCTTTCTCTCCCAATCCCTTCTACCATGACATGGTGTGTTTATTTGGTCTAAACCAGCCTCTTGGAGATTCTTGCGTAGAGAGCTTTGAGATGAAGTGGAAAGGTCACTTTGGGAGGGAGCCCTGGAGGCCTAAAGCCATGGCTGCCCTCTGAGTGCCTCCTCTGTGTTCCAGCTTTGCACAAGCTGCATTTGTTTCAGTGGCTCCTTTGGGTGCTGGGACTACTGGCTGCCTTCCTGTGCTTGCTGTTAGGCCTGGGGGCCTACAGTGTCTGGAGGTGGGTCTGGGTCGTCCCATCCCTTTTCCTCCAGGACCCTCCACATCCTTTAGGGGAACCTCCCACCTACCAAGTTCATAGGCTGCTACTCCTCCCAGTGTGGGAATTGCCCTAGAATTGCATCTACATTCATCTTGCTGTAGCTTTCTTCTTTTCTCCTCTGTACCCTGTCTGTGTTGAAGAAAGGGATAGGGAGGAAGAAAATGAGGTGCTCTGGACAGTGGGCACCCTGGGGCCAGGATGGGTGGGGGGAGGAAAGGAGGAGCAGGAGTCTCTGAGTCTGCTCTTGACTGTGCAGGAAGCGTTCTCACAATTTGAGCACAGGCAGAAATTTGTTGGAGATGGACTTCCCCACTGGACACTACGCAGGTAAGCACTCTACACACATAGGCATATGCAGGCATAATGCCAGCCTGTTCACAGTGCCCAGCTAGCTTCTGGGATGATGCTGGGGACCAGGGAGAGGTTGGAGAGGATGTCCAGGAAGCCAAGACCCCACTAGAGTAAGAGCCATGTTCTGCTCAGGGCTGGCTGCTTGACTTTCTGGTCTTAGCGGCAACTCTCCCAGATCCAAGACACACTTTTTGATTCCTTTGCCTCTGTTTTGAGTTCTTCAACACTCCTGAGCCTGCCTGTCATCTGGGCAGGGGCAAAAGGGTGCCTCTGTGCAGATGACTGACCTGGGGGACCAGAGGCAGAGGTCCAGCTGTGCGCACTCCGGCCAATCCCTTTGAGACCTTACCTAGGGTGGGGTGGGGTGTATGGGGCACCATGGTTCGTTGTCCCCAAAGTCCTCCTGTGACCAAGGCTTTTTTGTGGGAAGCTTATTGATCCTATCACAGCCACATGTACTCGGCCACTGAGCTGACAAGGTGGCACTGCCTGCCCTCAGGAGAAGAAGGAGGAGGAGGAGAAAGAGGAGACTGACAAACCAGGCACCGTGAAGCAGGCAGCTCTGGGTCCTGCCTACCTCTTCACAAGCAGCATGGTGACATCTGACTTTTGAAGACTTGGCTCCAAGCCTTTTGCCCCCAAGAAAATTGGGTGGTGAGAGGTGGGGGAAGACTTTATTTACCTAGGAGGATGCTGATTCCAGGGGGCCCTCAAGAGAACTGAGTTGATGGCCTGGGATTTAGCTCAGTGGTTCTACCACCTGCCTCACAAGCACAAGTCCTGAGTTCAATCCCTGGTATAAAAAAGAGAGAGAGAGAGAGAGAACTGAGTTGATCATGTCATCCACTTTTCTCTCTGCTTCTATGTTTTCTCTGGACCTCCTCTCCCCATTCCATCTCTCTTCCAAAGGAGAGACTTCCCCTGAATATGTTTCTCCTCAAAGCACATGCCAGACCATTGGATGATTGGAATAGAAGAGTGTCGGTGTCCAGGGGAAACCAAAGGCAGTGGCTTCAACATGCTAGAATTTTATTTTTATTTCCCCTACTAGTCTGGATATGATGTGGTAGTGTAAGCTGTTGGGGCTAAGGCTCCTCTGTCTTACTTTTGTCCATCCCTAAAATAATGCCTTTGATAGTGAGATTCACAATGGTCCCACTGTGTCCACATTTCCTCCATCCAGAAGAAGGAAGAATGAAAGTGGAAGGAAGAAACATCCATTCCCATTGTGAACACAACCCAGAGAGAAGTTGTATAGGTCCACTCCCTTCCCCTCAGCTGGAGTTTGCTCACATGGCCACACCAACCTGTAAAGGAGACTGGAAATGAAGCTTTTATTCTAAGCCCGGAATCCATTTGGAAGTTCCGTTTCCAAAGGGCTTCCAACCATGGACTTGACATTGATGGGAATGCCATCCCCAGGCCATGACCTGTCTCAGTATCTCTGGCCATTCTGATCTCAGGCTTCCTGGAAGAGATAGTAAGTCCCTCTCACACAGTAACACTAAGGAAATCAAGAAGGTTTGGTGGTCCCCAGGCTGAGGGCATGCCTGATCATTGGGCCCTTGGAAGAAAAGGTGCCTTATTTCCATGCTGTCCACCCCCACCCCAGGAGCTGGGCCCAGCTTTAACAGCCTTTCAAATGTAAAGAACAGACACAAATGTGCTTAGCATCCCTGGTCTTGCTCCAAATGCATACCTCTCCATGGCGGAGTGAGCTCCTGTCCTTTCTCTGGATTTCTATGAACCAGGGGCTGTTAAAGCAAATGAGGGTGACCAAGAAGGAATAAAGTACTCCTGGGAAATAAGGGGTTGGGGGAGCTGGTTCTTGAGTGGCTGATGACTCACTCCCCTTGTGGCCTGGTAGTAAACGGTGGGAGGAACAAAGGACCTGCAGCTCTCAGATCTAGACTGAGAAATAGCGAGGGTAATGGGGCATTCATACAGGGGCTAACAAAAAATTCATACAGGGGCTGAGAAAAAATTGGAGGCCAGGTGAGCACTGTGTAGCTGAGGCTTCACCCTCCCTCATTCCAAGTCCCATTTATTTTTGTGCCGGATTGCCACACCCCTCCTGGAGCCTGTCTAGCATGTCCTTCCAATAAACTTCCATCCTATGATGCAACTAGAGTGAGTATTTCTTGCAAACCAAACTTCTGGGCTAGAACACAAAAGATTGAAAAATTAATGGGTTTGTTCTGGGGAACATCTGCAAGAGGTGGCCAAGGAGTGTAAATCACATGACATGATCATAAACTACCTTCTACTGAAGCAAGTGTGTCCTTTCCTGCTCCCTAAGGCTGAAATTTTGTGTTTCTCAGGCCAGCACGGCATTAGCACATGGTAAGCAAGCACTTGTTTCTTCTACCTTGTTGTTGAGTGGGATGGTGGAAACCTTGGTTTAAATCCAAGGGTCAGACAGAGACAGAGCACACTAAATGCAGCCAGATATGGAGGCTGTCTGGAGAAGAGAGGGAGAGGGAGAATCACAGATGGCCACAGGAAGGGTTTGTGACTTGGAAGTCTTCATCTGTATCTGTACCCTTCCAGGGGATGTATGCCTACCTTGGGTTGGAGGGAGCTCAGTTAGGTCCTTCATGTGTAGGTCCCTTAGACTTTTGAAATAAACTTGCAGTCAAAGTGTAACATACAGAAAAGCGCACACATTATAAGTGTGTACAGTTCGATGACTTTTCCAAAAGTAAAGCAACCATGTTACCAGCACAGATCAAAAAACAAAGTGTAGTGTCACCAGCATCCCCCCTGAAGTCCTTTCTGGTTGCAATCCCCCAAGGGCTGCTACTATCTTGACCTCTAACACCATAGATTTTTTTTCCCTGCTTTTGAACTTTATATAAATGGCACTGTACAGTATGTATGACAAATTTGGGAAACAATCTGAGAATATTTATTAAAGCTAAAATACTCCCATGACCCTGACATTCCACCCCTGGGGCATTTACTCAAGAAATTAGGGTTTATGTCACTGTAAGACTAATATGAGAATGTTCACAGCAATGCTATTAGAGCCAGAAATAGAGCCAATGATACACAATAGCAACGGAAAGGCAATGTAAACTTTCCTATGTTCCCACAGTGAAAGGTTACAGGACGGTGAGCAGGACCTACGACTTCGGGCAATGGTACAGGTGATATTTCAAACACAACGTTCAGGGAAAGGAGTCAGGGGCTAGGCGTGCTTGGTGTAGGAGGCCTCAGCTTTGCCAGGATGACTGTGCCATGCCATCTGCTGGGTTGTAAAGAAGATACACGTTTCCAGGCACCATGGAGCTCTGGGTCCAGGGAGAGAGAGAGAGAGGAGGCAAGCAATTGTGATTCTCTATGAAACATGCATGGTGGGAGGTATCGTGCAGGGATGGCAGCCTGGTTTTGGGTCAGGAAAGGCCCCCTGAATGAGGAAACATCTCCCAGCTTCCTGGATACCATGTTTGAAGGGCTTTGCCCTGCCAGACCCTTTCACCAGGCCCTCTCTACCTTGGAACCAGAGGACCGTACACTGAAACCAAGAGCCAAAATAAACTTCTCCTTTAAATCGAGAGTGTCAGGTATTTTGTCCCCGTTACAGGAAAGTAGCTAACACACTGAGGCTACCATCATGCACCACACAACGTTTCAGTCAGTGATGAACTGCATCAATGGTCTCATAAGATTCTAATGCAACTGAAAAATTCCTGTCACCTAGTATTTTACTGTTCCTGTTCTACATTTAGATATGTTTAGAAACAGAAATACTTTCCATTGTGTTTCACTTACCTGCAACATTCCCTGCAGGGCGGGTGGTGGAACCCCTGAGCTAAAGGCTTCACTCACACTAGACAAACAGTTCACCACTGAGCTACATTTCCAGTCTTTTAAAAAAAGTTTTTGTTTTTGTTTTGTTTTTAAAGCAGATTCTAAGTTGCCCAGGCTGACCTCAAACTTGGATTCCTCCTGCCTCTGCCTCTTGAATAACTGGGATTGCAAGTGTGCACACTATCATGCCTGGCCAATGAAGTGAGAGAGTCTTGGGAAGGGGGCCCAAGGCAGCTTTGGGGCAGTGATGTAAATGAATCACACTGTGGTGATGGTTACGCTGGTATATGCAATTATTAAACTCCTTTAATTACACTTACATGCAATTTTTATATGTACATGATATCTTAATAAAGCATGCCTTTGGAAGTTGATTTAAAACCCTAAACTGATAGTACTAATAAAAATAAGAGTAATAAGGACCTTCTAAATGCACTGATATAAAAAGTGAGTTATGTAAACAAAAAAGTCAAGGTGTAGAAAAATGTTAATATGAGAATTGACTTTTGTCTCGTATTGTCTTGGGTCTATATAAAGCCTATGCAGGAAATGAAATGTCATTCCTGTGGGGAATGATGATTGAAAGGATGGAGACTTGAAGGGATAGGAAGACTTTTCTCTAAGCATTTTATTATACTTTTTTTTAAAATTCAGAATGGGTTTTGCTTTATTGCCCAGGCTGACTCAGAATTCCTGGGCTGGAGAGATCTTCCTGCCTCAGCCTCTGGAGTAGCTGGGATTATGGATGGGATTCCACAGTGCCACACTTTATCAGGTTTTCTAATGTTTGGATCACATAAGTGTAGGTTTCCCTCCTTGGTGAGCCTTTGGTTTTTGTTTTTGTTTTCTGAACCTTTTACTAACCGAATTACTAATTCCAAATTCTCAGGAACAGATTTGCTTAAAAATTAACACCCCTCCCTATCCCAATATTTTGTACCAAGTATTCAAACGAACAAACAGGAAGCAGATGTTACTGAGACCGAGTCTCCCCCACGCCGAGTGTGTGGCTCTGTACAGTCCTGACCTCTTGCCAGGCTGGGGAGCGAGGCTGCCCTACCTCCTGCGCCAGTTCCTCCTCATCGCCCTTGTCTGGAACCGAAGCGCCCAGGACCGCAGGCCTTTGCTCTCCGCATCCACCCTCGCACACGGGTTGGTGGCCACAGCTGCTGGAAGCAGCGGCACCTGACAGCCTTCTTCCCCTGGCCCTCAGCGCGGGGTCGATGAACCCTTGCCGGGCTCTCCCTCTGAGCAGCACCGGGAACAGAAGTCGTCCCAGGAGATCCCGTAGGGGGCGCTCCCAGCCCCCGCCTGGGCCCCACCCCCGTGGTCCTCAAAGAACTTTCCCCGCGGTCCCCGCCCCGTCCCACCCTCTGCACCACAGCGTTGATCCAGTTGGTCCCGAGGGCCAGGTCCTGACAAGGAGGGGCGGC